GAAGAAGCATGGGCTCCAACCAACCCAAGAGGGACTTGGGAAGGCAGAGGACAGCAAAGAAATGGTCTCTCAGAGGCTGGATCGGAAAACCGGCCCTGCTTTGAAAGTCCTGCTCTCTCTGCACTGGGGTGTCCCTGCAGTCCTGGCTATTTGCTGCAAGCTCCCTCTGCACTGGAGTGTGTCTGCAGTCCTGGCTGCAATTGTTTGGCTAGTTTAAGCTGAACCTAAACAAGGAGGCAGGACAATTGTAGAGTCGGGAACCGGATCCGCCCTGTCCAGGAGGCTGGACCTCAGGAGGCCTGCGACCCTTGTCCTCCACTTGGAGGGATGGCTCTCCTGGTCCTGTCTCCCACACTGCCGCGGTCCACTTCCTGGCAGGTGCAAGCCAGCAGCAGAGCTTCAAGCAAACGTGCCCTGCTCCTGGTCCCTCTCTGAAAACAAAAAGGCACTGAGGTCAGCGGGAGGCCAGCCCCACGGGCTCACTGAGCGCAACGCACGGGCTGGCCATGTTTTGAACACAAAGGACTTCAAGTTGGCTGAGTTGGAGGTTCCCCCCCACTGTAGTCACGGCAGCTCATCTGGAAGCACCTGGAGATCCTAGAGTCCCAGTGGGAGGAGAGAGGCAGTGCTGGAGGCCAAGGGGGAAACCAAGGCAGCCAGGCCTCCCCGGCTCTCCAGCCCAGGGAAGGCTGCAGACAGCTTGGACATGTTTACCTCCAACGCTTTTTGGCTTCGACTGCCTGATTTCTGTACTCAGCAGACATTAAAAATGGTAAATGGCTGGTTTCCCTTTGGTGGAAACACACAAACATGATGGCAATGTTAAATTCAAGGCTGTAACTTAGAAACAAACAGTTGTCGACGAAGATGTGGCTGAGGACCACACATACACAGATATATACACGCCTTTGGGTTTACATGTGCGACTCTTGGGCGATCAGGGCCAGGGCCAGCTGCAGCTTCTCTGGAAATCTCTCAGGCAACCTCAGCTTTGGGGGTCCTAACCTGAGCATCTGGGACCTGTGGCTTTATGACCTTCCCTTAAGCATGAACAACGGGCACCTGGGGACAGTGGGGGACAGTCCTTTTATGAGCATTATCCTGCTTTCAGGGGTTTAGCTCAGACTTGCTAAAGAAATATGCTACAATTTTTGACTCATAAATAAAGGTACTGTGGATGGCAAACGAGAGAAATTGAAGAAGGAAAGCCAGAGGAAGAACATCTCTCTCTAAAACCTTTTTTTTTGTTGTTCCTTTGCCAGCTGGTGCGAAGGGTTCCAGTTTGGTTATGAGAGAGGCAACTGTGTGGTTTGTGAAAGGCTTGCAGATGGCGGGCGAGAGGACGCAGTGGTTCTTTCACACAAGCACTGCTCCTGGGCCGTGTGCGAGGGGCACGGCGTGGCGGCAGGCAGGCCCCAACCCCGCACACACATGTTCATCAGATTTCATGCCACATCTGGAACTGCTGGGCAGGCACAAATGCACCCACCAGAGGGCTCCTGAGAAAAAGTGTCTGTTGCAAAATAATAATTAATAATACAAATACATCCATGGGCATCAGGAGAAGAGGAAGCCAGACGGGTTAGCCAGGTTTGCCCTGGGATTCTCTTAAGGCCTCCTCCAGTTTCTGCCTAAACTTGTCATACTTCTTTTGCACTTGTTGGATTTTGTCCTGCTCCTCTTTTTCCAGGATTGTTACGAAGTTCTGGAGCTCGGGGATGGAGAAGGCATCCCACTGTGAGGGGAGAGAAAGAGAACAGGAGACAAGGTTAGAAGTCGCACGACCTGAGGGGCCCTGCTACCCTCATCTTCACACACCGTGCACAAGGTTTACTGCCAACTAGGCAGATGTGACGAATAAAGCTCGGGCTTTCCATGTCATACCAGCAGCAAAATTTCAAATCATGGACTCTCACGGCCAAGAGTTCCTAGTCCATGAGCCATGTTTTAATTTGGACGATCAATAACCTTAAATTTCTCTCTAGCAGCTGAGATCTTAACAGTGATGCTGGAGCTGCTTGGGGCTCTGTTGACCCGCTCCAGCTGTCTGCTTTGGGGTGATCAGGACAGGCCCCCCCACATGCTGACCCTCAGGTGGCATTTGGAGGAGAGCTGGACTGGGGGGTCGGGAGGCTGGGCTTCGGCCTGACTCCGCCATGTGACCCTGAGCACAAGACTCCACCCTCCTCAGCCTGTTTTCTCGTCCTCCATGGTAGTAGGGTACCTGCCTCCCTTGGCTGGCAGAGCAGATCGTACGTCACCTGCCCGGCTCTGCAGAGCCTGGCGGGCCTGGGCCTGCCCGGTGGGACCTGGCCTCTCTGGACAGAAGGCAAGTCTGACTTCTGTCAGGCTGACCCAGGAGCTGAGGCACCCATGGGGTCAGGCGTTTCAACTCCTAAGCTCTTTGAGTGCAAAGGAACTTTAGGGTTATCTGTTTTAATTCTCACGTTGGATAAATGAGAACACGGAAGAGCACAGAGGGAGGCAGCATAACCAGTCAGGGCTCAGAGCAGCAAACCCAGAACTAGGTCCCAAGCCTCTAAACCCCTAGGCCTGGAGCCTTCCCGCGGCACGGGCAGCGTTCACACATTTTCAGTGGAATACTTTTCCCAAACAAAACCATCCACACGCTCCAATATATAAAGCAGGTGGAGGCAGAGCTGCCTGGTGGAAGCAGGACCTCTGCCCCCCAGATCCCCCAAATCTCCACAGTGACCCCCAAGACTGCCTCCCACATCCCGGCCTCCACTGAACGCCGTGTGACAAACTCTGTGAGACACACCTGCTCGTGGTCATTCCTCTGTGACCCCACCTCCCATGTACCCCAGGCCACAGGAAGCACCAACCTGGTTCACCCCACTTCACACCACAGACCAGACTCTGGTGAGACCCCCTTGGGGGAGTGAGGTCCATTTTTAAGAACCAGGGAGAGACAAATGGCTCAAAAATACCCATGCCCAGTGGAGCCCAGGCATGGAACTTGCTGGGCCTCAGGCCACCCGGAAGCCAAAGAACCTGGGCCAGAACACAGGGAGTTTCTCAGTGCCCCTCCACCCTGAGTTTTCAGAAGTAAGGCACATGAAATCCTGTCTTTCCACAGGCCTTGCCAGACACAGGCCCTGACTTGCTCCCCGAGGGTGCCTACCATCCTGCCTTAAACACAGAGCCTCGGCCCCCACCCCGGCTTGACTCCCTTGAGTCATTTTCCTGGTGCGCTGCTGCGCGTGGCCCCCACCTACGCTGGGTGGTGAAGGACCATTGCCCCCCTGAGCCCACCCGATGTGCCCTGCAGGCTGGGTTTGTGCAACAAGTGAAGGGGCCCAGACCCACCTCCACCTCTCCTGTTTCATTCTCCTTGAGCACGAAGCTGAGGACATCCGTGTCGGGCCCGGCGAGTAGGCGCAGGTAGAGGGGGCGGTCAGCCACGGAGAGTTTCTGGAAGAATACTGGAAACCAAGACAGGGGGTTGGGCGCGGGTCTCGGAAAAAGAAGGGCAGGGGCCCAGGATGGGTGGGGACAGAACTGGAGATGCAGAGCTGGGTGTTTCTAACTGAAAGCAGCCATCCTTTTAACCTAATGACATGAACCTGACGAGAATAAACAGGGTAACCACCTTTATCTTTGGCGTCTGCTGGAGTTGGAAGCACGTTTCCATTCACATCATCCCCCAAAAGATTAGCAGGAGTGGTGGGGCGGGGTCTGTCCCATTCACCAGATTAGGAAGTGAGAGCCCAGGGTGTGGTTTCCTGAAGTCACATGTGGAGGGAGGGGCACCAAGGGCGGGCAGAACCCACATGTGGTCCTTCCACAGACCCGATGCCACGTGGGTGGCTGGACTGCGGTTCCAAGAGAGGTGGGAAGGGGAGTTTCTGGTTGGGAGCTCGCTCTCTCCTACCTTGTCCGTCCTTGTGTATCCGCTTAAAAAGTGCAAACTTCTGGGGATTGTCCACGACCATGAACTTCTTGAGCAGCCCCTGGATGACCTCGCTGACCGTGGTGGTGCTGCTGATGTGCAGCTGCTTAATGGCATCCAGCGGCAGGTAGAAGGATGTCCGCTTGTCCGTGGTGGCTGCCAGGTTCACTTCCTTGATGGCGTCATAGATGGACTGGGGCCGGATCCCAGCCGGCACAGTCACCGGCCGCTGAAGTTTCAAATGCACTTTGATGAAACCCGTGTAGGTGCCATCTTCACTCTGCCAGGGGTGGGAGGTCGTGTGGGGTCAGGGCGGGTTTGTTCTGCTTGATCCTATCTGCACTCTGGGCCACAGCCCCAGGTCCCAGGGGCCACAGGGGCTTTTCCTAATGGCAGTGCCACCCCAGTCAGCCCCCTACCTGTCTCGCTGAGTTCCTCCCTGCCTCTGTTCACCCGGGAGTGCTGGAGGGGCAGAGACACTGTTCCCCCACATTGGACCAGGAGAAGGCCCACGGTATCCAGCTGCACGTGGGGCCACTATGGCTTTCCCTCCCAAGAGGCTCAGGCTGCCTGTCCCAAATCCCCCTGCCACCAGACAGGTGCTGATCGCCTTTGGTGAGTCCCCACACCAGGAGGCAGGGCCTGGAGTAGCCTCTCTAATTTGCCCTTCCAAACCACAGAGGAACAGGAAGGCTCTCTAACAAGGTCCTCAGAGAGCCAGCTCACTGGATTTCCTCCTGCATCTCTTTCCAAAATCCGGCAGCCTGCAACACTTAAACCTGGGCCCACCTGCCACTGGATTTCCTGGCGCCTAGTCTGGATGAAGCCCCAAAGTGCTAGTTGCTGCCAGCCACCAGCAGGGGGCAGGGTTCTCCTACCGTCTGCTCTCCTCCCCACTGAATACAGCCCTTCCCAACCTGGCACAAAGTTGGTGCCCTCTCCTCTCTGAGATCTAAGGAAGTGTCCCCGGACACAGGCTGTAACTGTGCAGCCACCAAGAAGGGGAGGAGGAGGAACCTCCAGGGCCCTGAGTCACAGCTCCCACAAAAGCTTTGACAAAAGGGCACTGCTATCTCTATTTCACACTTAAGCTCAGAGAGGTTAAGAAAGTTTCCCAAAGCCACAAGTTAAAAAGGGGAAGAGCCAGAGATTGGATCTGGATCTTATTCTAAAGCCCATTCTATTTGCCTAAAGCACATGGAGGCCCCTACACCCTGGACTCTCAGCTTCACACAACCTCTGAGGCTTCCAGAGGCCCCAAGAAAGGGGAGGGACCTCCAGCGTGGCCCCAGAATCCAGAGGGAAGCAGGGGAGCCACACCGGATGGGGGTGAGGGGTAGGGGGTGGAGAAAGGGAGCTGGTGCAGGGAGTAGGGGAGGGGAGTGGGGAAGGGGAGGGGAGTGGGGGGAGAATGGGGAGGGGAGTGGAGGAGGGGAGGGTGAGGGGAGGGAGAGGGGAGGGTCCCCCACCCTGTCCCCAGGATGGAGAGCGGGGTGGGGCGCGCGCTCACCAGCTTCATGCCCAGGCAGTTGTTTTCCCGGGTGTTGTAGCTGTCGATCTTCTGTTTGATCTCCTGCAGCGTGGGTGGTGGGCACTGCGGCTCCTCTGCGGGTTTACAGACATTCTGGAACAGACACAGATGTGAAGGTGGGTGTACAGGGGTTCTCAGGATGAGAAAGGGAACCGCCACGCCCTCCCAAAGGCCAATCTGACCAAGCGTGAGCCCCAGCTCCACGTGGTGTAAAGGAATCACGTGGACTCAGGCTGAAAACAATCGAAGGTCAAATCCCAGCTGGGCCACGGCCTAGCCAGCCACCCCTGGGGAAGTAACTGACATCGCTCTCGGCCTCAGGCTCCTCACCTGTGAAATGGGGCAACACCTATCCCTCAGGCTTGCTGCAAGACCTGTGGGAAAGGGCCTGGCACACAGGCACTGGGTATGACTCTGGCCAAGCAGCAGAGCTGTTTTGCTCATGGGGGACTGCTGCAGAAAGATGCATTTAGATGCTACGGGAGATGCAAAGAAATGTAAGCCAGGGTCCACCTCCTCAGGGAAGTAATGATAGAGCTGGAGAGTCAGGAATAGACACGTGGTCCCAGCATAGGCTGACGGCAATGACAGCGATTCTCCCAGATCGAGAGGACCAAGGGCACATGGATGTCAGTTCAGGCCCCATGTCACTGGCTACAGTGCTTTGCAAATAATAATATACATACACATACACACATACGTACATATACATACACATATACACATATGTACGTATACATACATATATACACACACATATATATTTATCCAGTGAATGTGTGAACTGGTGGGGGCAGGAGGCTGTAGCCTTCTCTGATAATTGTAGCCAGCGTCTACTCAGCACTTCGTCTGGGCCAAGTGCCTGGCATGCATTATCCCATTTAATCCCCAGAACCCAAACTGTGAGACAGAGTTTATTACCCACATTTCACAGGTGAGATGACTGAGACTAAGAAGAGTTTGGTAATGTGCCTAAAGCCCTACGCTCAGTCTGTGCAGAACGAAAGGGGACTCCAGGTCCATTCTGCTGTGTTCTTCCCATGGCATCACCGTTTATCCTTCTCACAGGTTCCCCTGGTGTCCTCCCCGCCCCCCTCCAGGGAAGGGTCAGGAAGAATGAAGCCAAGGAGATGGAGGGCAATGTCCTTCACCCTGTGGAGACAGTCCAGGGGACAGTTCTGGGGTTCTAAGCAACTCCACCTGACTGTCAGTTCCCTGGGTTTCTCTTGAGTCCATTTCCACCCGCTGCCCCTGTATAGTCCTCATGCTGTCCCTGTGCGGCCAGCAGTGCCAGAGCTACAGTTTGAGGAAATAAACAGGTCGGTCAAAACCCACCAAGAACTTGCCAGGGCTTAGAAGTCTGGTGGACCCAGGGCAGGGCAGGATTGTCCTTTGGCAAATGAGGAAACGGGCCCTCTGCCTCTCTGACGGCAGCACCCAGCACGGTCCTGTGGGTGTCTGGTTTGGTTGGGGAATCTCACAGCCACGCAGTCATCACAACACCACCCATCGGAACACACTGGTCACCCACAGCAGAGCTGCCCGGCCTTCCTGCCTCCCGCACGCCTGCTCGTGGGAAACATGTCACACTCAGCAGGATGCCTTCACTTCCTCCTTCCACTTTCTGATAAGATGCCAGGCTCTGTGACTGCCGAGGGGAGCTAGTGGGGCCTCCCACACCCATCCCTCAGCACAGAGGCCAGCTGACATCCTTTTTCCATCACAGCATCTTCCGTTGGCCTATCTGCTGCCCTCTGTCCTCGTCCTCAAGGATCCTGATCAGAACAGCGCTGGACAGTCACATCCCTTCTCTTACATACCAAGTATGTAATTACAAGACAGAGGCTCAGAGAGGTTAAGAAACATGCCTGTGGTCCCACTGCTAGTAAGCGTCTGTGTGTGGCCTGGAACTAAGTCCACTGAAGTCTGGAGCCCACACTCTTCTCAATTCACCACGTGGCCACCCTAGGACGGCCGCTCCTGCCACTCCCAGAGTGAATGGTCACTGAAATCCCATGCCGCAGGGCTGGGATGAGCAGCTGCCACCCCAAGGCCTATAATTACATGGCCTGTGAAATGTTCATCTAAGATGTATGTGATCGGTGCGTCAGGCCCCGGGGACCTCAGGGCCTGGGACACTGTGTCACCTGCAAAGATGTCAAGGGGGGACTTCTAACCTCTGGTTGGAGGAGGCGGCCGCCAGGATGCAGGGGCCCCCCCTTTTTCTTTGTGACCACTCAAGTCTCTGGAACAGGGCCCCGCTTCCATCAAGGACCACCCAAGGGGAAGCACTCCCCTGGGGCATCTCCTGTCTGCCTGAGCTGAGCAGCAAGTGGTGTGAGCCTCATTGTGAGAAATCTTCCAGGAGCTTTTAGGGTTTTCTCTCCATCATTTAATTATTTTTTATAGATGAATATGAGACAGCTATTAACTCCTAAGGAGCATCAGCCTACTTACTTCAGAGGCAGACAGGATGGGGCATAAGTAATGGTAACCAGATACTGGTCTTTCTGACTAGAAGCTCCCAGAGGCAGCAAACCCATCTGGTCCCACAGAGATGTACCCAGAAGGGTGGGGGCTGGGGGTGGAGTCTCAGGGGGGTCAGGGGACGAGGAATGTGAAGCTCTATTGTGAGGGTCCCTGGGTTAATAAATCAACAGCCAATGAAGATCTCTCATAGTTTCCAAGTGAGCTACGCCCATTTCGCTGTAAGAAAAGGCAGATCGTGCTGGCTTTCAAAGGCCAGGGTTCCAGCCTGGTTTTGAATACAGCAAGAGTCAGAGCTGTCTTAATGGAAGGCTTTTTCTTCCTGTTCTCTTCTCCTTCAGCAGATAACCCATCTGTTCCCCTTCCCACCACAAACCTAGGGAAGTGATGCAAGCGGCCATGGGCACCCTTTGCAGGACTGACGCAGAGGCGGCCATCCTCACCTCACCACCCTGTCTGCGAGGGCCAGGAGCTCTTACCCTGGGACAGCAGCGCCCCAGGTTGCTGCCCACACCAGACCGGGCACACAAGATCTGACCTGTGGACTGAGTGAATTACCTTCCAAAGCAGGCCAGCCCATTAGCCGGCCAGCGGCAGCCAGGAGAGCTCGCTCTCCTTTCCCATCTGAGAGATGGTGGAAAATCTAGACCAGCGGTGCTTCAACTTGGCTGCACATGGACTCATCTGGGGGATCTTTAGAAACACAACGCCTGGGCGCCACCCTGGAGATTCCAATTTAATTGGTCTGGGGTGCAGCCTGGGCATAGGGATTTTTTTAAAAAGACTCCCAGGTGATTCTGGTGTGCAGCAATGTTTGAGAATACCCAGTACAGACCCGTCCCAAGCAATTTCAGACCTCAAAGGTCCCCATCCAGCTGCAGAGTGAACACACTGGCACCCACAGATACCCACTGCCCCAAAGGTTTACCGAAAAGGCAATATCCAGCGTGTGAACAGGTCAGTAATACTGGAATCTTCAAAAAATAAGTCAAAGACCCCAATTTCCATTCACCTGCCAGATTCTCAAGTCCTCAAAGTGAAGGATTTGTCTCCATCTATGGGTACAGAGCTGGAAACCAGGCAGACAAAGTTTTGTCTACTGGGGTGGCCCAAGATGGAGACAGAATGGGGAACTCACTCTGCTATGACTGTAAAGATACAGGCACTGGCTCTGAGGTGTCTCTCCTAGGACGTTTACCCGTCTTGCTGCACCTCGCACGGGATGCACCTGCTCTGATTAAGCCCCTGGCATTGGTGGCAGATGGCTGAGCTGATCCCAAAGCACCCAGCTCATTCAGGGCACTGGTGAAAGGTAGGTTTGTGCTCATATGCCCTAAGCCATGGAAAGGCTGTGTCCTCGCTTAACTCTCGGGGTTGTTCGTCTGTAGCCAAGGGAAGGGGCTGCGTGCTAGGAGCCAGAGCACAGATTACCCGCTCAGACAGTCATCCTCAAATTTTTCAATTAAAATACCCGTGACACCCAAATAAAGAGGACCAACCTCTTGTGGTCCAGGACCTATCTTACAGCAGATCTGCCCTAAGTTGAATTTTACTTTATTTTAAGAGAAAAAAAAACCCAAACACTGGGTAACTCTGCATTCTAATCAATGACATGTGTAAAGTCTTAATTTGGGTCATTGGCAGGTGATCCAGTGAGCTGACAAGAAGAGACTCTGAGTGAAGCCTGTGGCTTTCAGTCTCCCCAGCTGGGCATAGGGCAGCCCACGAAAACACTTAGCAACGACAGGACCCCCAGGGTGAGCAGTGGGCTGAGGAGACTGTGGGCCCCTCCATGCTAGAACCATCAGATACACTCATGTCCATTTTTTTCTGGACCTAAATCACACAAACCTCATTTTTGCCAGAAATTCCACTCTCCCTCTTTTTAAGCTTGTCAGCCTCTTCCTCCTGCCTGTGGCTTTCATCATCTGACTCCTGTCTGCCTGTCTGAAGTCCTTCATCTGGCAAGGTCTCTCTGACCACCCCAGCCCTGAAGGATGACAACCATGGTCCTTTACTGTCATTTACTGCCTAACTGTGCGCTAAACACCGTTCTGCTCACTTAGCACATACTAGCTCATTTCATCCCCATCACAAATTTATGAGGAATGGTTTAATTATACCCATTTCACACATGAGGAAACTGAGCTCCAGCAAGGTTAAAAGCTAACCTACATCTAAAGCCAACACTGTACTATCCTGCACTGAAATATGCATCTACTTATATTAACTTCCATGGAGACCATCCACCTTGGTTTTTCTTCCCAACTAGACAGACCCTCCTTAATGACACCATCCTTCTATCTCTTCTCTATGCCCGGTGGCCCTGAAGCATGAAAGAGATAATGCTTGCTTAAGAACCTTAGCTGGTCTCCCATTACCTTCAGGGGGAGAAAAGGTCTTACTTTCTGCTAAGGATCTCAGTGCAGAGTCTTGGGTTTCAGTGTGGACTGAGTTCTGGGAGGGAAGCACCTGCACCTGTCTTGTCCACCAGGGAGTCGCAGAGCCCAGCCCCAGCTTGGCACACAGTGGAGGCTCAGGCACCACCTGCAGAATGAACTTGCGTTTGGGTTCTGACTCCCACTACTAAGCGATCTTGAAAGAGT